TGGGATGGCGAGGGATGGCAATTGCAGCCTTTGTACAGCAGCAGCAATTCCAAAATTAGACTCAAAAACGAAGCAGCCAGACATCCAGCCGAGATGTTCACCTACTGCAGCTGTCGAGACTTAACGCATCCTTCTACTACTGCTGTGGTTTGATCTCGACCTATTTCTGTGTGTTGCATGTAGACGTATTTTTGAGACTAGCTGCACCGGAAATCATGCTGGAATTGGGTCGATTGATTTGCGTACACCCGCCTTGTTGGCGTCAATACAACATTGCAGAGGGTGACGTAAGATACCACACCCCCTGTGTACTGATTTTCAAAGCTTGATTGCTCCACACAGCACAAAGAGTGGTGATGCCGAAAATTGTGGCGTTGAAAACGTCTCGCTGAAAGCTTTCCAAACGCGTATCAACGACTTTTTTGTGGATCCCTCTTCGTCGTCGAGTAATGGAGCTTTGGGGGACATCGGTCTTAGGGGGGGGGTGGTACGAAGTAGCGTTGCTGTTCAACGGGGGTGTCTTGCCAGACCCCCCGCAAAAACGTAGAAACCAAAGGTAACACAACGCTACCGCTATGAGTTCATGACCAATTTATTCGAGACCCTTTTCTAGGGATAGAGATGGATTATTTGTTGTGTTACGAAACAAAAAAGGAGACACAAACAAAAACCTCCGAAGTATGCCAAGGAATAAGAATCCAATGTTACGGCAAGAGGCGGAGAGATGGCACCCCCTCTAGACCGACTTCAAATCTCGATTGCCCCCCACAACCAAAGAGGTGCGGAAAGAGCACGATACGTTCACGGAAAGCCCTCGACGAGATATTTCCAAAATCACCGTCTTCGGTGTTGGCACAATCTTAATCTTGGTGATGGTGGAGCAATCGAGCTTTGAAAATCGGCCTGGGGGGATATATATGCCATCTCTCCGCCTCTGTACGGTGTACGGCTATTTCGTGGAAAAGCGAACCCTCGAGTTCTGAACTACGAGTGGTAATTTCTCAAGTCATGGCCCGTTCTGCACACAGCCTGAAATCTCTACAAGGTGTTTTCGGCGAAGGGGGTTTGCTGTGTGTGTTTGGGGGCAAGGGAAGGGGAGGGAGAGGAAGGGGGTCTCTCTCCCTCTCTGGTCTACACATTGCTTTTGACTTGGCGATAATCTAGTAGATACAGTTTGAACAACATAACGGTCACCGCAATCATTCGAACGGACACAGCTTGGACCGAAGAAGCTAGATGCAGTTTTAACGTCATACTCCATGCGAACATGCCGCAATCATGCGAACGTACCGCGATTGCCTTGTTGAAGAAAGAGTCGCACAAAGGTCTACAGCCTATTTTGGGTCTGACCCATGCTACGTTTGTCAATAGACCATAGGCCGTGGGTTTCCACAGTGAATGCACGCAGGCGCTCCGAGAGTGCCGTCAACCGGGCGTCCGCACTACCTCTGTACCGAGCTCGCTCAATCTTGTTCTAATCTACAACGGTCTAAACCCGACCGTCAAATGTCTGTTGCGGCAGAAAGCCACGCGCACTCAGGAAGCTCTACCCCAGTTTTGGTCCAGGCTGGGGTTCATAGTTCCTCTCGTGGGCAAAATGGCCGCTATATAGGTTTTAGTGTAGGGCTTCTTAACCGGGCTCACAATAAATGGTGCTAAAGCTCTTTGAGTTTTTTCGAGGAATCGATTTCTTGGCTGCCAACTTCTTGAGGATGGGCGCTAACCGCTGTATCTCAGTCGACAAGCCTGTCAAGGAGGCCCTTCGGGAAGCCGTTGCTTGCTCTGCGAAGACATACATGTGACAGCAACAGCATTTTTTTTGTATTGCTGGCAGGTTGCCCCCCGGGGATCACACGGACGATGTAGGGACAAGGGACATTTTTTGTTCGAAGGGGTTCCTGTAAGGATTGTTCTCTGATTCTGTCAAGATATGCATACTGCATATGTATGTGACAGCAACATATATATATTTAATATTGCTGGCAGGTTGCTCCCAGGGGATTGTCGACGGCATCGCACTGCTCGGGAGTATCCATGTCCCCACGGTCGTCGTCCTCGTTCACCGCACGACCGGTGACGGCCACAGCAGCAGGGGCAGCAGCACCCAGAGCCTCCGCGCACAAGAGGAGACAACAACGGTTCAGCATGCAGTTCGGTGAGGTTCTTCTTTCTTTCTGTTCATTTCTCCATTTTTGTTGTTCCTAGAAGTGTGTACCGTATTTGGCCGTTAGTTCTGCGACCACGATGGGGTGTAAAAAATCCTTTTCCCGGCGAGATCAGACAGGAAACGGTCGCTCGGTTTTGGATATCACTGTGTTTGTTGTGTTGTGCAAGGGCTTCAAACGAAACCGACAACCTCACTCGAAGCCCTCAAGTCAGCCCGAATATGGCAGCTACACATCCCCTTCGACTGTCAATATATCTCGAACGGGTAGTCTTTCTGCGTTTCTATGCAAATTGTTTTTCTGAGAGAAGACTATGCCCGACCGCTGGTGTGGTTTGCGCGCAGTTGCTGCCGTGTGTTCTCGGCGTGTAGGCTGGTAAACGGGTGCACTCTACAATGAATGAGGCCGAATCACACTTTCGCCTTGTCATCCTTAGACTAGTCATCGGCACCAGAATAGCCTAGGGGTTTTGATTTCGCCTCCTACCAAAGTCTGTCTGTGACACGGTTCCGCTGACCAGCCTAATGTGTTGATTTCGGTTCCTCAACCAGTAGTCTACGCAGCAAAATTGATTAAGCAAACATATGGGATACAGTATTCAATCCGTGCTTTGGGGTTAGAGTTAGGGTTGGGGATAGGGTCTTCGTGCCCCCTCCCTAATTTTTTTCTAGATACTCTTCAAGTCCTGCGTAGGCGGTCCTCCTCAACATGCACGCACAAAGACACGAGGTTGTATAACACCCATCTAGGAGCATGTTAGTCTAGGGTGCCGTGGACCAGTCTAAGGGGTTGGTTTCGGAAGCTTATGATACACCCGCCCGCACACACGAAGACGAAAACACGTTGTGTAACACACACACCCGAGAAAGCCCTTAGTCGTGGGTTGCGCTGATAGTCTGTTGGCCTGAATTCCGGTTCTACCGTGGCAATTGTACTTTTCACTTGCGGACGAACGCCGTAACCCCCCTCCCCCCCTCGTGCCGTTTTGGGTGTTCTCAGGAGAAGGAGGCGGGCCAATCGAGAAGGGAACCATGCCGTCCTACGAAGAAGAGCAGGAGAAGGCGTTCTTTAACGTAAGCGGCCATCACCCGGATTACGGCGGGGGGGGGGGGGGGGGCGGATGAGTTGCCAAGGTTTTTTTCCCTTGCTTGCCTTGCTTGCTGCGGTCTCCACCGTTCAAACATACGAAGTACTTCCCAGGTACCGTAGGTGATGGAAGATACCACACCCCCGTTGACCGATTTTATTTTCAAAGCTCGAGTGCTCCTCCACAGCAGATGGTTTCGAAAACGGCGTCGTTGGAACCATCTCGTTGAGGCCTTTCCGAAAATCACATCGATTTTGGTTTGATGGTCCTCTTCTTGGCGGAGTTGTCGAGCTTTGAAGCGCTGCCCCGGGTGTGTGGTATCTTGTGTTACCTACGTCAGGTCCGGCGTTGGGATGTCGACATTTTTTAGACCCGCCCACAAACGATCTGTCGTGCACAACAATCTGTCGTGCACTTCACGGCAACCCTCGCCGGTAGCGTACCGCAACGTTTTTCTCCGTGCTCTACCATCATGCGGACGAACGCGGACATTGTTGTGGTTTTTGCGGCCACGTGATTTTTACCTTGCACGCTTTTGCTGGCGAACGAAGAAATCTATCTGGTTGCCCTCAACCTTCCGAAACGAATTAAAATACAGCAGCAAAATAATGGTCCCTTTAACAAAAGAGCCAATGAAACGGCGTGACACAGGATAGAGTGTTTCAAGTGGTCTCATTCTCTTGGGCAGTGCCGGGTGCCCGGCATGCGGCCGGCCGAAATTTCTCGGCACTAAATGTATGAACCCTTGTTCAGGAACCCCGACGGTTTTGAACATGAAAGAAGCGTACATCAGTACTGTAGTCAGAACACTCCGTCCTGCACTGCGCATCCCGTTCCCTATCCCCGATGTCACGTTCTTCCTCCTGTCTCCTCGAAACACCACGTCCTGAATGCACCTCCCTTTCCCTAATCCCGATGTCACTGTTGGGCTTCTCCCCCCGCCCCGCCCGTGTTTGGCGTCTGCAGAGCGAGCTGGACAACGCCCCGGCGACGGAGAAGGTGAAGGACCCCGTTGTGATCATCACGTTGGCCTGGATCCTGGGGATGTTCCTCCTGGCCACCGGGCTCATCCTCAACGGCGTCAACTAGTTAAAACCTAACTGTTTGTCTCTTGGGATCCATCGCGTTGGCCTGGATCGTTGGGGGGGGGGGTGTTTTGTTCTTCCTGGCCGCGAGCCTCCTCTTCCTCAACGGTGTTTACTACGAACACTTGAATTTTGTGTGGTTGTCTATAGACCCAAGGAGAGCCATTTTGGGAAGAAAAACTAGAATGCAGCAGCATTGGACCGTTGTAGCGACCCCCTTTGTGTCAGGAGGGAACGTAGTGATCGCTACGCATGGCGGGTCGCTGAGCAGGAGGGTCGCCTGGACGCACCAGTGTACGTACAGGGCTCGGGGATCCGACTGAGGGGTGACGTGTTTTTTTTCAAATGCGAAGGGGGGGGGGGGGGGCTCTCCGCCCGGCTGCTGTCTCCTCTTTCTGTGCATCTTTTGTCCGTGGTTAAAGTTGTTGGCGACGAAAGAGCTCAATGGGGGCTGGTGGAGGTGTAGAACTCACAGAGCAGCAAAACCTCACATAGCAACGAGGCAATCTAGCGTTTTCGTGGGAGTCATATGTGCGTGAGAGGACGGGAGAGATGCGGCAGAAGCGGTCTGGTTGGATGCTTCTGTCGGCCCAAGAGAGAAATACACCATGTAGCCTTGCATTTGTCCGTTCTCTTTTTTAAGATATTAAACTGGAACACAACTGTTCGTTTTTCGGTCACTTGTTCTAGAGAAAAGAAACCCGGAGTTTTTGGCCTTCTTTTCGCAAGAGAGGAGTGCCCGGGTTTTGCTTTTCAGGCGTGCCCACAACGGAGAAACGTTTGTTGGAGAAACGAGTCGGACCGCACGAAAGTCACGCTGCATTTTTTTTTATTTTGCCCTGCATATCCGAAACTGCTGTAGGATTTCTCTAGATAGAGCCCCCAAGAGGAGAGGCAGCCGCTCTTTCTTGAGGTGTGCCCACCTAATTTCTAGGGCGATCACTCAGACTGACTTCGTGGTTTTGTTGAATACCTGTTCAGGGACCCCAAGAAGCGGTACCTTGCTGCATGTATTTGCAGAGAGCGGCATTGCTTTGGATGTGATGGAGAGGGAGACAGGCCACAAGAGTAAGGCAAATAAGAGGAAGAAACAAGAAACCGCCACCCACCCTCTCTTAGAGTTGTAAAATTCGGACTGGTGTTTCGATATAAATGCAGTACCGAGAGTGACTGCGGCTCGTAGATGAAACGTCTGCATTTTATTTCGGGATGCCCCGTCAAAAGGGCCTTGGTGACTTTTCGGCCTGTTGACGGTGTGGTGAAGAAGACCGGCCTTGGGTGTGACTTGTGCGTGCCTGATCGAGATTGTTTGCATGCTACAGCAGTAGTGGATTCACCGGCGGGGTAACTCTGGCACCCAGAAAGAAGGTTTGCATGGGAGATGAATGCATGCCTTTTCCTCTAGAATTTTCTGGTGGCAGAATCTGGGAACGAACCCAATTAATTAAGATGAGTGATTCTTGGAATAGGTGGCTGTATGCATAGGCTAAGGTCTTAGTCTTTCGTGGTATGTTGCATGGTCGCGGTGTCGAGGATTTGCTCAACGGTCGCCGTCTGCACGACGGCTTGGTGGTTCCAGCTTATTTTTCTTGCGGGCAAGGTTTCATGGGCCGGTGGTCACTATGTCGTAGGGTTGGATGTCGCGGGAGCTTGCCAAAGATAGACAAAACGAGCGTGAACGAGAACGCAGCCTGACTACTGAGAATAATACAGTTGGTGTGATGATGATTTGGTGAGCATTCTGCACCCGCCTGGGCTGGAAAGTGATCCATTCGCAAACTTTCGTCCCTCTGCCGCAAATGCTGGGCGGTGTGGGAACGAGTACTCAAAATCAAAGGTGTGGCATCGTGGAAAAAATAACGGTCTTCTTCTCGCGTTGTGATGGTCGGATGGGTTTTGTCATGACATTCATCATGTAAAAACCGCATTTGACCTCTCTAGCCAGTTCCAGTTCCTATCATACATGCACCTCCCTACCACCCTCTTTTGCGTACGTAGGGTTGCAGAAACCTCGCTGTAGTACCTGCTTACCTTCGCTTTGGCCTTATTTTGGACTTGCGATCTTGTGGCAAGGCATCTAAGCGAAACGTCACAGAAAAAAAAGACAAGACTCATACGCCAACGCCCCGGTGAGCATTGCAGCGTTGTACATGTGCTCTGTATTTAGTATGCCTTTGCACAGCCCAAATAACGGCTGGCTGTATTATTGCCACCCGGTTGGTCGCCGGCATGACGACCGGAGGTATTCACTATCGAGCGTGACCTTGCCCGATACACAGAATGATCCAAGTACAACCGAAAATATTTTGGCTGTGGCTACTGCTGCATAAAAGAGTATAACGACAACATCACACAACAACACGATCTTGCCAGTTGAAGCAGCTGTGCGTGTTTCAAAGCAGCCCCCTTGGGTGCAGCTCCCGTGTGGGTTAAATTGTTCGAAATTAATGCCTTGGAGGGACCAGCAGCCCCTCTCAGATTTCCAGATTTACCGGTCCTGGACGTGGCGTCCGTATTAGTCTCCCAGGTGTGTTTCCGTTGGTTTTAGTCTGCAGACAGGGCTGTCCATCTGTCTCGTTTAGACTACGTGTCCATTTCTCGACACACAAAGATATATTAGGCCGATCAATGATGTGTGCCACACGGACGGCCGCCGCTAGTTGTCTCGCAGCCGCTTCGAGCAAGCGCATCACAACAGCACAAAGGGGGAGAAATATATAAATATATCGTGTAGATGTTGAGACAACGATAGACAGCGCACCATCACCACTAGACTTCACTTATTTGCGTGAACTTCAACATGACACAGTCTAGTTCCGCCGCATTTTGTTGTGTCGTGTGCTCCGCTGCCCAGCTTCTCAAAACTTTACTTCTTCTCGCGCCCATCTCCTCTAGGCCCTGTGGAAGCTCTGCTGTATCGCTGCTCCCGCCACCCTCCTCTTCCGCCAGGCCCACTCTCACTGAAGGTACCCGTCTGCGTGGTGTTGTTCATTCGGTGCCTGTCGATGTACGTGGAGTTTGGAGGAGCGTTCAACACGTACAGCGAGCTTGGCGAGCAAAATGAGTGCAAGATTCTATTTCGCGACCTGACTCAAACCCCCCAAACATCCAGCTGTGGCACGCGTGCTCCTGTGCCGCAGAGGATAAAGAGAATACCCGCAGCAGTAGTCGAGGACAGGCTGCTGAAGCCACCGCGGTCGTGCCTGGTACCCTCCCCTCAATTGTTTGGTTGTTTGGGGGGGCAACGAAAAATGCATGCAAAGGCTTCGCGATGGATCGGTCCGGATTGGGTGTGTGTATACGTGGGCTCCCGCCGTATGCCGCACGTGCTGCCCGCGCTGGGTCTACATGTACCTACATACCCCCATGCCCACGCTCCCATAGATCTAACCGCTGCGCCATTTACTCACGCATGGCCGTCTTCTGACCCCTGGTTTTGCCTCATGATACCACGCGTACCGCTCCCGCTGGAGCATTCGCACCAGGCGCACAAACTTAATTTTTCGCGTTTTTGTTGTCGAGTCGTGTCAGAGCAAATCATCAGCAGGGCACACCACACGCGGGGTGTTTTTCCTTTCGGTGTGACAGCTACACATACATATTAGGTGTGCGCCGCGGACGTAACTAAAATGAAACGGGCAACGCCTGGCGGTGGACGAGCAACGACGATAGCGGCGAAAGGCGCGAGTGTTATTTGTTCACGCCAACGCAAACGCTGGGCGCAGCAGCAGCAGCAGCAGCAGCAGCAGCAGCAACATGCTTTCACGATCGTGCGCTCAAGTCCGTTCGCAGCCAACACCGAACCCGTCACCGATGCAACTGTGGGAACGCAAGCTGCTGCTTGCTTTTGCCACGGGCGTGATTTTCTGTTCTTCTGCGCACGTTGCCCTACTGCTGTGCCAACTGGCATTTGCGACAGCCTATTCACCGTGAAGACTAAAGCTTCAGCGCGTCGAGCGTCCAAACAGCAGCAGCAGTAGATTGAGATGAAACAAAGATCATTTTTCGAGAAAAGAAAGACCTTCAATGTATGCCACGTACAGCGAAGGACCCGGTTTACAGGTGTAGCGACTTCGCCTATTTGGCGAGCATGAGAGGGCGTCCGTACAACTGACATCCCATTCGACTGCTGTGGGTAATCTCGAATGGGTAGTCTTTCTGTGTGTGTATTTATTTTTTCTTAATTGGCCGCGACGCTTGTAAACGAATTCATGCCGCCGCATTTTTTTTCGAAAACATACTTGTATAACATGCAAATGCACAGCCCAGAAATTAGGCCCGCTCTTCTCGCCGGAGGCGAACAAAGGTTTGCGGCCCCATCTAACCGGCAGGGATCTACGTGGACATACGGACATACCCCATACACGAAGTAAAAAAGTTCTCTGACAATACTTCAGCATGTCCCTTTCGACTGCTGTGGTTAAATCTCAAACGGGTAACCTTCTGTGTGTGAAGTATTTATATTTTCCAAGAAACGAGCCTCCGCTAAAAATAATAATACAATGAGTAGGGGCGCGTTCTGTAACTTTCCTCGCACAATTACACGTGCAGGGGTCGTTTCCACCAGAGTCGTACAATAGGATGCGAGAGATGGCAACCCCATCGAGACCGACTTTCCAAGCTCGATTGCTCCGCAACCAAGTGGATGCAGAAAGAGCCCGAGACGTCTACGGAAAGCCCTCGACGAGATATTTCCAAAACCGCCGTGTTTGGTATTGGCACCCCAGTCATGGTTGTGGAGAAATCGAGCTTTGCGTATCGGTCTACGTATACGAGGGGTGTCGTCATCTCTCGGTACTCTGTACTCAGTACATACACGAATATACGGGTAATGCTAGGAAGGCAGGAGGACCGGCATATTGCGCCCAAAAAAACAAAACGAAACACACACAAACATTTCGTCGCCAAAACTGAAGAATGAGAATATACCCAAAACAAAAACAAAATGCTCCCAACCATTAGGTACAAGCGTACACTTTCTCAGGATGTGGCTCCACTCCATGCACCCGTTTTCGTCTCTCTCGGGGCCAAACCCACGCTGCTGTTGGATGTTGACGGTGTGCATGCACAGCTGCAGACCGTACGTTGCTTGGCTGGAGTAACGGAGCTGCCCTTACCGTGGTAGTAGCAGAAGAGGCGGTGTCGGGCTCGCTACCGAACTCTGTGAAGGAAAAACGTGAAGAAAATGCAGGCTCCAAACTTCCATATCAATCAAGGAACCATGCATTGAGGTTGTGCCCTAGTAGTGTACCGGTAGTTGGCCTGTGACGCCAACGGAAAATGCCGTCCGCGCCAGTTGTGCCGGTTCTTGACGTAGTGAGCGTGAAGACGGTCTCGACAACAACAACGACAATTAAATGTGAAAACAACAAGGATTGGGAATGTACTGTGAAGACGTAACCGCAGCAACAACAACAACAACAACAACAGCAGTTGGTTAAAAACCACAAGTCCAATGGAAAAAGTAAAAAAAATATCAGGAGTAGGGTGAGCCACGAAAAGCCCTTCCAAGGTCGATTCCCCCGCTTGTGTGGTTGTGTATACTTGATATAGTTTAGAGCATCTCTGCTGTGTTACATTTCGCGGAGTATCGTCCAGGCGGAACGATCGGGATGGAAGGAGGGCAAGGCTCTACCACAAGCGACAGCATTTTGGCAACCGTTTTTTTGTTTTTACGCTGACACGCGCAAGTACTTGTCTCGCCCCTTCCTTTCCTTCTCTCTCTCTGCTCCGTCTGCCTGTCTGCCTGTCTGTCTGCCTGTCTGCCTGCCTCCCTGTCTCTGTCTCTGTCTCTGTCTCTGTCTCTTTCTCTCCCTCGCTCTCTATCTCTCCCTGTCTTTCTCTTTCTGCTCCCCCCCCCCCGCCCAACAGCTAAATGATGGCGACACAATCAACGACGGCGTTTGCCCTGGGCGTCCTAGCCCTGGCCCCCGGGGGGGCCAACATCGACAGCAGGACCGGTGGTGGCGGGAGCAGCAGCAGTAGGGGCGTGGGACTAGTAGATGCGTTCGTCGGGCAGCCGACCACGATTCGGGCTGGCGACGGGGGCTCCGCAGAATTCTCCGCGAGACGCTCCGGTCTCCATCGCTGCGTCGGCCCACCCTGCGAGAAGCTGTGAGTGGTGATGGTAGTGCACATAGCGTGTGGGTGAAGGGTGGCAAGCGTTGAGGGTAGTGTGGTGACGTTTAGGTGACGGGTGGAAAGCTTGAGTATAGACAAGCGTTAAGATGAAGGGTGTGAATGTTAATGGTATATAGTGTAGCGGGTATGTGAAGGGTGGAAAGCTGTGACTATAATGCAACGTTTAGGTGGAGGGTGGACAGCTGTGGGTGTTGATGGCCGTCTAGTCTGTTACCGCCGAAACGAAAGCGTGGTTCAGGGGACATGTCTTCGGGAGCTCTCCTTACACCTATCGGCCGGCGTTCGCGCCGTGTCGACAGCTGTGGAGCAATCGGATAGCTATGAGGGTCGGTCTGGAGACGGGGTTGCGATCACTCGCAAGAGTTTATCCATCGAGTAAACCGCTGTTTGTGTTTTCGGTGTATCCGCTCTTGGTGTTTTGTTTCAATGACCCGTACTGTCGTCAATGTAACAATGTACCCCCCCCCGCCGAACAAACGGTGGGAAATCATACCCAATAGGCTAGGTGTAGGACACTTTTTTTTTGCAAAGTAGGAGGGCCAATTTGCCGTCGGTGATGGGTCCTGTAGGAACAATCCTCCGCCCTCTCGAGGATGCGTGGTCAATGGTCTTTCCGCTAGGTCATAAAAAAGCATGAGCACGTCCCTCGTCGCCCCGCCTTGTCTTGTTCTCAAGCGGCAGGAATCGCGCCGCGTTTTCGTCGCCCTTGACGATGATGACCCTGAAGTCCGGTCCGCGTCCAACCAGCGGCGGAGCCAGCGGCAGCAGCAGCAGGAGCGGTCGTGACGGCGTGAAGCCACGCGTCACTCGAACGACCGGGTTCGGCAACAGCGCAGAGGACTTCAAGTATGTGGCGGTGAGTGCACGTTGTTGCTGGTGGTGGTGGTGGTCGTGCTGTTGCCGTCGTTGTTGTTGTTGAAGGAAGTAGTACTTGTAGTACTAGCGGCAGTAGTTGGTGTTGGTGTTATTTCGGCTGCGGCTGGTGTTGTTGGTGGTGGTGCTGCTGGTGGGGTTGTGGTTGGCTCAGGTTGCTGTTGGCTTTTGTCGGGGGTTGGAATATCGAATCGTGACGTAAAAGTACCGCAACGAGCAGCAAAACCTTCCCCGGCAAACTCCCAAGGTGCAGTATGTTCGCGCAGTATGGCGGCGTGCACCTCGTTGTACTCAGTCTACTTGCCCAGAATATGAAGGGGGGTGTTGTTGGCGCATTTCGATATCATCAAGGTCCCACTATTGGCACGCTGAGGCAGACACGTACAGTATCTGACAGGGACGGGGATCGTAAAGACGTAGCCGCGATTTCCGTAGACCCGGGCTCGAGCTTGGGGCGTAACACTCCGCTGCATGGCTATGTTATTCTTGTATGCTCTACCCTACAGGAAGGCTGCATGGCTATGTGATACGCTCTACCCTAATGTTTGTACCCTTTTTCGGGTTGTTCGCCTATGATTTGGGAAGGCGTCCGCGGCAGGCGGGCCAGTAAGGAAGGATGTTATAAGGTCTCGCTGGACAGAGAGCGGAGGTTTATTTTGCCGGAGACACCCCCACAACGCGGATGGTGGATGGTGTCTCGTGAGCAGATAACACGCCGGGTGTTAGACACCACCGTCACTACAGAAAGCGACAACACCGAGAGCGACAACAATATCAACAACGCAAAGAGCTAATGTGTCCTTGTCCGTGTTCTTGTTTTGTCCAACGATCAACAACAATATCAACAATGCAAAGAGCTAATGTGTCCTTGTCCGTGGTGTTCTTGTCTTGTCCAACGTTGTCGCGTGCTCCTCCTGCCGTCGCAAGGACATCAAAGGCGGGGTTGTCGGTTTCCTGGAGGCGATGGACCAGTCCTTGTCCGGCGAGCTGGTGACCGTGGTCACTTACATGCCGTGGTGCCGCTCCTGCCACCACGTAGGTCGCCTCTACGCCGCGTTTGTCTCGAACACGGTTTCTGCTGACTGTTGCTCCCTTTCTTTCATGCACACACACGGGCATCCCGCCGAGCGTGTTGACTGTGACTCATGCGAGGCATCTGTACACCTCGCTACTCTTGTACACTGCCATGAAGCGGGTACGAATCGTGCATAGGTCAGCTGCTTTTTTTGTGCCGTCATGCGCTACGGACGAAGGCACATGTCCTAAACCCTCCGTCTCTCTGTCTCTGTCTCTCTGTCTGTGTGTGTGTGTCTCTCTCTCTCTCTGTCTGTCTCTCTCTCTCTGTCTTTCCCTCTCGGTCTGTCTTTCTGTCGGCCTGTCTGTCTATCTCTCTCTGCTTGTGTTTGTTGTTGTAAACGTGTGACCAGCTTCGGCATCGTCTTCGGGTGTTGGCAGAGGCGCATGCCCTGGCCGGATCAGGGGCCATGTTCTACGAGATCGACCTCAATGCCAACCCGGAGGTAAACGCCACAAGAGAGTACGACTGGCTACGTTGGACGATGAAATCAAACCACCCTGGCCGTAGCGCGATGATTGCTAGCGAGCCATTGCAGCAAGTTCACCCCATCTGAAAGTTGTCGTAGATGATTTCTTGCGTTCTTCCCAAGAGCAATCAATTTCAGCGGAGGACAACTGTCTGCTCGTCCCCGTTCTCCGGAGACTGTGGACCTTCAGAAAGCACCCTCAGCCTGAATCACAAACGGTCTTCGAGGTTGGCTTCTTGATTTTTTATCCCATCAGTTCTGGGCTCCAGTCGGCGCCTTTTCGGCTTAATTTTAGGAAGTGTACATAACCTCCCAGAAAGACTACCCGTTCGAGATATAACCACGGTAAAGAGAGAGAGATGGGCCAAAGTTTTTCCAGTGAGTGACGGTGTTTGACACAGCGTCAGGGGTCACGCAGGAGGAAGGTATTCACTGGAGTGGGTGACCCCGATAAACGGGTGATATAAATCGGTGTGTTTTCGCCGTTCGCATCTTCGCAAGTCTCTTGGAGCTCGAAGAACAGTTTCAGCAACAATATGTCACGATCTCCTGCTTCGAAAGGTGCACAATAGTGGTGGATTTCTGCGTCCTCGTATTTACGCCTCTTCACGCTTGAAGGATAGTTTAAGCAGCAACATGCCTCGGTGTTGTGTATTGCAAGGTTCACAAGATGCTGGACATCCACGCTACGCCGACGGTGCTTCTTTACTGTTCGGGCCAGCTTGTGGACGAGTTCACCTGCGCCGGCGATTCAGGGCCTAGGGTGAGAAGCTGTATTGTTGTTGTTGTTCGTCCCAATCATGACTCCTTGTTTCTGTTTCCTTTTTCTGGCATGAAACCTGAAGCAAGTGATGAAGCCACTCCCTGAAAAATGAGACGAGTCGTGTGGGATTATGTGTGCGGTGTGTGTATTGGGATCTGCGCGCTTGTTTAACCGTCCAAGGTAGGTCAGGGCAGGTGGGGCAACCATGTAGAACAACGTATTTCGGCGGATGTGGCGGATGCTTTTCCTCCCTCAACGATTTTGCGCACAGCTTCCGTCTATAACACTACCATGGGTGATATCATGGCTACTTTGTCCTGGACTCTTCGGTCTTGCGTGGATACTATCAGAGTTGAACTTGTTTAGTTTGTTGACACCAAACTGTCTTTCCCCGGCAGGTGATGCTCAAGCACATCGAGGAGCAGGTGGGTTCCATCCCAGACCCGTGGCATAGAATACGGTCTGGGCCTTCCCCCGAGTCGCCGACTCCGGGGACGACGTCGAGCGTCTCGGCTACGGAGGATGATGCCTGATTACAATTGGAAACCTAGGGGAAAGGATTGGAACGTGTACAAGAAGGATAAGGGGAATCGCGACGGGGAGTGGCCCCTTCCTCTGATGCTGAGATTGTGATTTCGGAGCGGGAACCAGTTCAGTCAAGGGGAAGAAGCTATCTTCCGCCAGGGAGGTTGGGACGATGGCGAGGGTCCCCTCCTCCGAATGCAGGGCCTTGATTGCGAGTGGAAACCCGGACGCCGAAAAAATGGCTGCGGTGGGAGGGGCGGCCTTCGTTTCCTTAAGAGGAGAATTGATTTCCTAATCGATATCCGGGGCCGCGTAGCGTTTGCCGGAGATGTAGAGGGGCTGTTGGTGATGAAACGAGGGAGAGGGAGAATACCGTGATGTGCGGCGGAATAGTGCCCAGGGCACCCGTCGAGGACATGTACAGTTAGTCTTAAGGAGCGGTTCGGGCTTACCCAGTAGAGAGAGGGGAAAGTGAAAACCTAGATAAAATAGTGTGGCCTTCGTAGCGAAGAACCCAACGCCTGAGTTGATCGCAAAACCCGTGTGTCCGACCAACGGATGGGTTGAGGTTCTTTGCAAAGATGATAATGGCAATGGCAGATTGATTGGAAACCCTTTGAGTGACTAATGGGGGAGGGGGGGGGGGGGGGGGGTTACTTCCGGGAACATTGATGGTTTAGTTTTCGATCTGGGTTATATCGTCGATGAAAGGATATATCCCGGACTACGCCGCCATTTTCTTCGGCCCCTGCTTCTCTTCTCGTCCTCAAAAGAACGCAAGAAGATATTTTTGTTCAGGCGGAGTCGAAGTTGATCCGTGCTACGCGCGTGGCGACGGAACTAAGAAAAAAGAGAAAAATAATTTTACGACAATCGGCGTTTGTATTTGCCACGAGCTGGAAACGAAGCTGAAACGGCCGATACGATGACGGTAGCGTACTTTCACGTGTATATGGAGCGAGTTGGCGATGTTATTTGTAGAGGTTGAGAGCGTCTGGGGCGATGAGCGGAGATGAAAATGAGTTACCCTGAAGTCAGCCAATCATCCTGGCGTGTACAAAGCGAAACATGTGCGGACCTTATGAATGGGGGGTTCCCGTTTTTTTTTTCTTTTTTCTGTTGTTTGCAGCATTCGGTGAGTTGACTAGAGGTGCAGTAGGCGTAGGCTGGTGGGTTGCGCGTCAGAGGCATTGTCGGATGTGTTTTGGGAACTGCAGGGTGCCGTGTTGCCAATCAAGGCGGTTACATGCTTTTTGATTGGCAGATGAGGCATTTTCGTGCCGCCCGTGTTGGAGGCACATTTCCCGTTCGATTCATCGACAGTAGGATGATGCTGTTCCTGAGCCATTTTTTGACAACATACCGAACCAAACCCGTGTATGTCTAGGAGGTTCATATGCGTGCATTTTATTAGATTGTTGCTCGCAATTTTCAGTTCACATCGATGAATTGTGATTTTTTTGGGCGTTTCGCGTGGATTGTCGCCGGTATCAGAAAGACAGGATTTCCCGGGAAACAATCCTATACTAGATTGTCCTCTCATTTTTCGGAATGATTTTGAATTTTGCTCGTGGGAGAAAATCAAGCGCCAGGTGCGCGACGGGATACGAGCACTCGGAGTCTGATTTCTATGGACGCGCGGAGCGGGAAGAGAGTAAGTTGGTGATTGAGAGGGACAGAGGCATTGATCGGACTGGAGGCCCACTACTGCTGCCGGAGTAGTTGATTCCATAGATGACTCGTGGCTCTGCTCCGACCGCAACGGTGGCGTTGTTGCGTTCACGAGCGTGCTTGGTCGAGAAAGCGAAGGTTGATAGAACGGGTTCTGGTGCGTTTTGGTTGGCTGTCATTTTTCCCGATCTGTAAGATACCGATTGCGTGCTGTACGAAGGACGAGTTGGTCGGTTGAGTTGGTGAGCTCAGAGATGCATGGAATGCTTTTAGGTGAATTGGCGTGTTTTGGGGCACAGACTCCTGTACGGGGAACAACACGGCATAGAGGAGATGGCATCGAATAGAAACATGAGACTCAGGGTGGGCTGTATATGCCAGTGTTACTTAAGCTTGTTGGTGGTTGTCCGGAGAGGGTCTGAGCATGAACGGCTGCACCAACACCAAAAGGAAAAGGAAAAGGAGAGCGGGATGGATATGGCACGGGTCAAAATTTGTCAGCACCTGGAGTACAGCGTAGTTTTCTCGACACTCGGGGCGGGGCGTAATAAAATCCCATCGATGGCAGAGAGATAACATGAGCCCACTCAAACCCCAGCCTTTGTTGGGTTATGGTTGGATATGGTTGAAGTGGTATCTGAGGAGGAGCGAAATCATTTTGCCCTAGAAAGGTCTGCTTGCGGTGGGTGAGGCGGTTGTGTTCATTGTGGCACTAACGCGGCCATGGGGACGAACGCTTGTCCCGCACACAAACCGGTGCAGCTTGATGTTCGCGGCGGATGGATGTAGTTTTTCCTGCTGACAAGATATTGTCCTCTGTTGGGGCGCCTCGTGCGTGCCTGCGTTTCTTGGGCGGTGTTCTGTTCGTTCGGCAGTACGACTGAAACTGACAGCGAGGCGGTACAACGTCTATGTTGCAGGTTTCGGAAGATTTCGTTTATAGGCATGTCTTGCTTGGCACCAGACCCTTGTGCTCCTACTAAAGCTCAGCTCGTTAGTACTGGGCATACTATGTACATGTATAGTCTAATATGCGTAGAGTTGCTTCACATCTCCATCTCACACTCCTTCCAACCCCAACATTCACTCCTACCTTCTTTTTCTGAAATGGAATTTGGTGTCGCACCTTGTGGTACCAACACATAGATGGGTGGCTTAAAAGCACGCTGCTGTTATTTTCGGTGCCTCCGTCCCTTAGAAAAATTCGGTACGGGTGTGCGTACCAGCCCTTCACATCAAGCGGGCACCGAAAAGAGTGCTGGCAACATTCCCACGGTCGCCGATGAGAATGTGAGAATGATATGTACTTCGTAGGAAGGTAAAAGTTGGGCTGTCCCTCCTCTTCACATCAACGCGGAATCTTGTTGGTCGGCCCGCCGCGAACCGGCACCTGGCAACCGTTTGCTATGATATTGGTTTCGGTACAACCGTCGAGCGCACGGTACCTCCAACATGTACAGCAGTAGTATACACCAGAGCTTAGTGCAGGATCCAAGCTGAGCGTGTTGTGTTTGCAAGCCGGATGTGAGCTACGAAACGGGCCCGGCACGATCATGTCGGAAAAACGAAAAACGTGCCAAGAGGAAGGAACGTGGCGGTTCGAGATAAGCGGCCCCGCGGAATCGAGAATACGGGACCCCATCCTACCACACGTTGCACCATCCACTGTGTACATCATTTACATACTGCACAGATCAACCAACCAGCGAGGAACAGTTACAGTGGACGTCTAGCCCCGGGGAGAGAGTGGCTAAGAATGGTGAGAGGCCAAGCAGCGCTGCAGAAGAAGTAACTTTTGGGATGGATCACACAGCAGCAGTGTCTAAACTGCTGTAGACGCTTCATGTGTGTATGCGCATAGCACCGTGCTCTACTTTTGGTGTTTACCAACACCAAACAAACAAGAAACAAGGCAAAATTATACAAACTGACTGCTATGCCCTACCTACCATGCACCAGGTGTGCCATTCTCATCTACTGCTGTAAACATCACTGATACGTTACCCCAAAGGATCAAATACGTTTTGTAAATTCAAAAGACGGCGGGAAACACCTACAGAACGCGCCACCACTTAACCCCCTTCCCCCGCACAGAAAATTCGGCGGTCTTGCGAAATTTCTGAAATGTAAGAAAAAGAGCGAACGACGCCTGCTGATTGGATGGTGCAGACAGTTCCACCCCTGGGTGCAAGTGCAAAGCTGCCTTCCCACTTGAGCCGTCTCTTGTCTATAATCCCTATCAATTGTCCCCTCGATTCGAGGGGACACGAGGGGACAATTGATAGGGATTATAGACAGCAACTGGCGGGAGCGTGGTAAACGGGGCACGAAAATGAGGTTTTCAAGATATTTCTCTAGAGGGAAAGCGAGACCTTCTAACTCAAGCCCTAGGTTGCTTGGTGCCTCCCATCAACGGTGGTCTAGGTACTTCTTCCGCGCTTGCCCCTAGTAGCGCTTTCCACCCAAGGGTTAACAGACGCGGCGCAACTTCGCTGTTGAACCGGTGGCGTAATCGCCCCGCGATTCGACCTGTTCATTACCCTCATACTCCTCCACTCTACAAAGCATCCATACTAGACTAGAGTCGTCCCTGTGTACCCTGGCACCCCCCTGGTCGAGTAGTGCAAAGGAGGAGACAATAATGCCAATCTTCGCGAGGTAAAGCAGGTGAAGAAGATAGGGACAAAAAGTGTCCCCAAAAGGCGATCCAGCCCTAAAGGGGTTAAGAACCGCTAGCTTGAGGCTCGACGCTTATTGGCCTCCAACCGAGCACATGTTCTTATTTTCCAAGTTCTTATTTGGAGCAGGTATCCACCTATGGTAAACGAGGTTCTTGTTCTTATTTCTATACCGATTACCGTATGCAGAGGACACAGACAGGTCTTTCTGCGTGGATTTCATCACGAGACACTACTGCTGCAAGAGTACAATGTAGCCATAAAATCGCCCCCTAGGTGGCAGTGCCGCATGTACGGTATGGGAGAGGAGAGGTTGCCGAGAAAGGCTTAGGAGGCGAAGTGGACAAACAAGAAGAATTGGTGTACCAACCTACGGAGTGAGTTAATGTTGTAGATGACGCATGGAAGGGGGTCCAACTTGACAAAGGTGATACACTGGAGAGGGGAGGTCTAGAGGGGTTCAAGGAGAAGATATCTGTTGTTGCTTTGGCGAGAGAGAAAGTCGAAGGTCAAACTTTGGAGTGGGGAAAACGGCCTTCGAGAACGTTGACGAAGATTCAGGAAGGTAGACGATGAAGACGAGTTCAATGTGAATGCGACTCCGAGAGCGAAGACCGGGTTCATGTCGTTGCGAAACGTCCGTGTTGGGCGACAAGGACAGAGAAATGTACATGACTGAGTTGGACATGTAGAAGAAAAGGTACAGGGAGGTGTTTGAGGCATGTAATAGCCAGGAGAAGACGGTGGTAGCTGTACTGGGGCATAGGAAGTGGGTTGAAAAGGCGGGAAGTGATATCGATTTAGGGTAGATCGGCGAGGGAGAACATGTTTTGGCCACGTTTGACAAAGTACTTCGAAGTGGGAAGGAACGATTGGCATATCCTGTTGGAACATGGATGCGTCCTCTCGAAGACGTTGGTCAATTGTCCTACCGCTAAGGCATGCGAAACATGAGAGAGAGTACGCTCTCCCCCTCTGCGCGTTCAAGAATTCATCACGAGGTCCTCTCTCTCCCCCCCCCCCCGCCTCGAATCAGAAACTAACTGCTGTTTGGGTCACCCCCAGCCTCCTGAGTTCTTATCTTGCAGCCGCCGCGTTTTGGGCTCCGTTCTTGTCTGTATGCGCATTGGTACACCGGGCGGGTTCTTGTTCTTACTACAACGTCGGAACTGAGCGTATATTCTTATGGCCAAGTTCTTAGATTTTGGATTGTTTGAGGCTCAAGTTCTTAACTGCTAAGTTCTTAAGTGGTGGCGCGTTCTGTACTGTCCGTGAAATTAAAAAGTTGTGTCATATTAAGAAAAATAAAAAAAACTGTAGATTTGAAAAACGAGTGATGTACTGCTGTAGACTTCGTTCCATCTTTCATGATTTTTACAATATTATTCCTAATATTTAACAAATCAGCAAGCTGTCAATAGACACTGCGCCGTGTCCCCTGTGAAGGTTACATTTTACAAAACACGACACAACGGAGGAATTCTCCCGATATTTTGTCGTTGACCCAGTAGAGAACTACAGGGGATCTATTGTAAAATGCAAGTTACCTATACAGATGTTTTTGTACTTAGCACCAGCTGGCATCACTGGTATACATCATCAGTGTATAGACTTAAAAAGACTCGAAATAAGTCCAGTACCCAGCCGGTTTTCCTCCACTCACTGAAAAGACTCCACTACATCCCGTTCGACTGTGGGTATATCTCGAATGGGTAGTCTTTCTGTGTGTGTATTTATTATTCCTTAATAGCATGCATGCCACGACGTTCCGGGCACAGTTGATCGTGTATCGCTATATGATACCCAGGCGTTCTTTGACCGTGTATCGCTGTGCCCGCTGCGAAAGGTGCAGACGAGGAATAGTGTTGTCTGGACTTTGTGATGGCACGAGACAAGTATGATATTTTGTAGGAAAAAAATGTCTAGACTACACTGTGTGTACAGTGGTGGAGCAGTGCTTCGTGGGTTTCAAAGCAGCAGTGTTCACATTGATAGTGCTACTGTTGTAGATCCTGAGGACGTGGTTGGGCCGCGTGCTCGCCCAGTTCGCAGCCGCTAGGCCGTGCGTTGGCCGTGGGTGTGGGTGAGGGTGAGGGTTCGGGTTACGGTTGGTTGGCGTGAGCAACCTAGCCTTGCTCGCGTGAGGAACCTAGCCTTGCTACGTTCAACATCGGTTAGACCTAGAGAGTTAGTATCAAAGCGTAACCAACCCTCGTTCAAAGAGGCATTTTTTTCGGGATGGGTAAGCTACAAACACTGACTGCTCTTCAACCCGATCCACCACGCAGAGGCGACGGCCCAAACAAACTGCGAAGAAGACAAGATGAGTAAGTTATGGAGGGTCATATGTTGAATGTCCCAAGCCTAGTGCTGCTGGATGGGCAAGGCTGGCCCAGTAGATAGGCGTGAAAAGATGTTGAGATGGTTAATTTATTGATTAGGTTGCCGTTGTCGAAAAGAGAAAGAAGGAGGGTGAGCATCAGGTGGCAAACACCCGCTCCACACTCCAGTGGCAAGGAACTCAGAACTCGGAACATTACGTAACATGCCAAAGATACAGAATACCGGGCACATCAGAAGATATCCCGAAGATCTACGGTCACTTTGACTCCAGGGCACAAACCATCGTACCTGAATAACTACAGCAGTAGCCTTCGTAAGGATGGCATAATCACCCTCACGAACATCATGAGGTCGGCTTCCTTAGCTGGCTTGTTATCGTTGTCTTGTCTTCGGTGGGTTTCAGTATTGGTTCGTCGGGCGTTCTCTTCACGGAACACTTCCCCGGGATATAGAAGAGGTGCCCGCGAGTTTTCGACTTCAGGCGTCGGGCACACGTGCCACGGATGTCTGGAGAGTTCTGGGCATGGGCCATATATTATACAGCGTATCGACGAGCCTCCTGCGTGCCCCTGAGAAGGAAGCGCGAGAAGCAGCGATTTATGCCCCAAGAACCAAAGCCTACCTACCGACTGAGCTTACCCTAGACTACAGTAGTAGGCTCATTCTCGCCTCTCAGTTACAAATCTGTGCGCTAGCTATCTGCATCTAGCCGTTGCTCGAAAAGCGTTGCCCCATCACCAACTTTCGCTCGGGTTGTCAGAAACCTCAAACCTCGGCCCGAGCGCTGAATCATTCACACAAATTCACAGGAGTCAATTGAATTCCACCAACAAGATGGCAGTAACTGAAAAATGTGCGTTCTCCTTGGAGTTGCCTCCATTCTCCAAAATTGGAAAATTGGTTGATATCTAGCGACTGGTGTAGTCTTACCGGCGCTCAGGCTATCCTTTTGAAACACGCGCAGGGGAGCTCGCATGTGTGCATGGACCATATCCTCAATCGCTCGAATATGTATCACACCCCCCCGAGGTGCTGAAAAGAATGCTGGGTCCCACAGGGCTACATCATAGGGTACTTGGTTTCATTTTTTTGTTCTTGAAAGCTTGCTTGCCGGGTATGAAGGCATTCCCTGCAATACCTACGATACAATCGGGCTTCGTTTTCAGCTCCTTGGAGGTAGTACACACTGCCTAGAGGCATATCTATTGTAACGGTTGTTTGATGAGCGAGAAGGCCTTTGGGAGGGCTACCTAAGCACCGCTGCGACGGCTCCCCTCTTGCGTCCGAAAACCCGGAACCGCCGAGAACACAGTAGTTGACCCAATGGATGGTGTTTTAGCAGCCGCTGGTATTCGTGTCATGTCGCCTTCTGTTCGTTGCGGCTTGTTCGCCCGTCGTTCGCATTGGCATTTCCCGACTGCCTTCCGAAGTGGGAATCACGAACCTCGAATGCGTGCAAGAACGGATACGCATGGGAAGATGGCTCCCCTCCACGAATCTATCACCTCAAAATGGGATGTATTTGAACGGCCTGGTCACCCTCGCTGTGTACACGCAAAGTCCGCAAGAACCAGGCCGTTCCCCCCTGCCACTATATCGGTACCTTGTTTTGCACGTGCAGAACACAGGCACGATCGGAGGGAGCGCGAAACGCGTTCGGACGGAGAATGTCGCCATGACCAACATGGATATCGTTCACGGCTTGGCGCAATTCGTGCTGGACAAGCAGTTCCTGTTCTTTGCGGCAGTCTCGAGGAGCTGGAGGGACGCGTGGGGGGAGCGAGCGACGGTGACAAGTTGGGTCACGCCTCACACCACGCCCTTTCAGCTTCAGTACAGGTATCGCCCGCAGTTGTTGTTGTTGTTGTTGTCTTCGCACAAAAACCGTTTCGGTCTGTGCTCCGTATTACCTCGCAATATCCGTACCGATGCGGCTGGCCGTGGAAAGCCTTCCGTGGTGAAAGGCCAACTGCCGAAAACGGGCACAGAACGAACTTCGATTTAGCAACGGAGAAAGCGAGACAGAAAAATTTACGAGAGAACGTGATAAGGAATGCGGCCTAGTGGTTGGGGTGGTGACCTTCACCTAAAATCTATGTCAGAATCTGTGTTCACCTGTCCATGGTTTTCTTCGGGCGTTGTATGTGTACAGCTTCGCGTGTGGCCTCGCTCGGGATGGCGTCGATTGGTGCTTAACCACGGCGCGGGCCGGAAACCTAGATCTTCTCAGGTGGGCGACGGAGCAGGGATGTCCCTGGACTAGGTCACTGTCCGCCGCAGCAGCCGAGGGCGGCAATATTGCGGTCCTCGAGTGGCTGAAAGAGAATGGTTGCGTGCTCACCGAGGCGACCTGCGCTGGCGCGGCATTCGGCGGGCATCTGGGCGCGTTGAAGTGGTGCCGGGCGAACGAGTGTCCGTGGGATCGAATGACGATGGCATGCGGCGCCAAGGGCGGACACCTAGACATCCTGAGGTTCGCGAAGGAGAACGGTTGTGGCGGATGGGACGCCCGCGCTTGTTCGGCAGCTGCCGGCGGGGGGCAGCTCGCGGTGCTCCGTTGGCTGCATCAGGAGGGGTGCCAGTGGGACTCGGGCACGCCTTCGAGTGCTTCGAAAGGGGGCCACCTCGATGCCCTGCAGTACGCGATTCAGAACGGATGCCGGGCGTCCGACGCAGTGTGCTCGAATGCCGCCAGGCACGGGCACCTCCACCTTCTGCGGTGGGCTTTTGCTAGCGGCTGCAGTGCAGACCTGACGAGGGTGTGTACTTTGGGAGCCCAGGGGGGGCACGTGGATGTTATCAAGTGGGGCCGGGAGAACGGCGGCGGTTGCAACAGCGAAGCAGGCTACTGGGCCGCCGTTGGGGGTCACGTACATGTGTTGGAGTATTTTAACACGATTTGGCTTTCATGGGGAGAGGAGTCGTCGTTGCTTCCGGCGGTAAGAAGGGCGCAGACGGAGCTTGGTTGCACGGCTGCCAAGAGAAGCCGACTGGAATGCGTAGCCTCGTGGATTGTAGCGAACAGAGTACCCGCCCGTGGCGATGACGTCTCTGTGGAAGAACGCAGAGCGGCCTGTTTTCTCCTGAAGAATCCGAGCGGAGAAGTCGGAGATGGAGCAGACAACTGAATGCCGAGGGAGGTTTCATTTTCCAGTACCCTTGGCAGGCAGTTCATAAGGCCGAGTAGCGTCGTGAGGCCAGTATGCGTTGTGCTGCTGTCGGGAAACTTCACCAGTGCTAAATTTTCTACGACAAGGGGTGCACGTAATTGTTGTTGTTGTTGTTGCCGTCACCCAAAGCAAGGCACTCTGTTACATGGCCGAAGGAAAAAATTCCACGCACGCACATGCGCACGCCCTGAACTGGTGTACTCCTGCAGGCGGGCCGAAAAACGTTTTCGGCTTTTTGCCTCTCATGGGGCTTAGAGGCGACTTTACGCAAGCTGCATATGCGGAACATATCGTGTTTGGCAACATAGTGACGACGTTATTCGCATACTTTGAGTGGATTACGTGTGCTCTTGATGTGAAACGTACCGATTTTATGTGACCATGGGTCCCGGGTTTGCAAGAGAGGATCCTAGCTCGCGCATAGAGTACCCCCAAGAAAAATGGGTTACCACCGCGGGCCCCCTTTGCTGTATATAGGAATTAGACTTCCATTACCCCCCTTCCCCCCCCCGGAAACCTCCCAAATAAGAAAATGGGTACGTACAGTAGGTGTCGTTTTTTTTTTTTTTCGGGCGCCGGCACGACCATTTTTTCCATCTTGTCGTGGGGAAATCCAGATGGAGAGGGAGGTGTTCTCTGTTATTTGATGCAGTCGAATGAATGAATCTTTGCACAATCCCCGGTTGAAGGAATCTTTGCACAATGTTAAAGTCGTGCTCGACAACCACCCACAACGGTAGGCACGAACGCCGAGCACAGCAGCGATCATGCAGCAGTGTTGTCGCAGCCACGCCTGCCTGTATTCATCGACATGCTGGCTGCGACAAATATTCCTTCGTTTAGCGGGACCTGGCCTTTCGGAACTACGATATATTCACTCTACAACGCCCAGCCAGCGCACACATTGAAACAAACCTCCTTGTTGTCCCGGTGTGTGGCAGGTGCGCATCAGCTGGTAGCTTGGATGGGCTTTGGAATCAAGCAAGTGTTCATGGATGGTTGTCCTCTGTTCAAGAACACAGGGCCACCAGGTACAATCGAATCACGCCAGCTTCGCATGCCGAGTTTTCACCGGCTCGCCGGACAACCACATCCTTATCCCGACGGTCCAAGACAAGAGATAGAGAGGTGACCCAGTAGCACTAAAGAAATCCTCCAACACTCGCGCAGCTAAGAAGGGCGGAGTTGCGCCCACTACATATCGTGAGCCCGCTTGCTATCCTTCGGTGTCCGCAAGATGGAACGGTGATTTCCAAGGGTCTCCCTTCCGAAACGGAAATTTCCAAATCGGACCACATCACGACAATATGGGAGGAAATGCAACATCGTACACGGCAGTAGTACAAAAGCATACATCAGTACAAGTGTCGTTAACCTACAGCAGTTCACTAGAGTATCCTGCGCTGCTTGCGTTGCCGCGTGGAACTCTTCGAGTAGCCGTGGAACCCGTCGAACGCTACGTGTAGGTCACAGCAGTCTGTTGTACTGTGGGTCACAGCAGTCTGTTGTCACTCACACCAAACGCGTATACAGTAGCTCGCTTGGTCCACCACACTTGCCGGGGGGGGTACCGGACCCCCCCTCGAGCCACGCGTGGTGTGCTTGGTTCAACACACGTGCCGGGGGAATCGCCCCCCTAGAGCCCCGCGTTGTTTCGTTGGTTCGCCACACGTGGAGTTTACGTGGTTCACCACACGCGTAGTTTGCGTGGTCCTTGTACAGTAAATATGCATGTGTTCACTTATTTTAAAAATGCAAAATCAGTCTCTACTGATGAACAAAATGCTCTTGCGTCCGAAAATGTCAGAAACATCTTAAACAGTACGGCTCTCGCATACTCTATGCAGGAAAATAAACCCAACAGACCCCTGCTGTGACTTCCCCAGGAAATACAAACGAATATATCGGCAAACACCAGCTCCGCAGGTAAAACGCAGTAGTTGGGGATTCGGCGAACAAGGATTAAATATCCCCAGTGCATCAGATCACAACCCCCTACCGTCATCGGTGCACTGCAACAACCAAGAAAATATAACTTCTCGTGCTGATACCGGGACCATGACATCCCAAAGGACCCCGAACATGGCCAAATCCATCCCACCGCAGGAAAAAGCGGTTGTTCATCGGTGGAAAATATCTAGACATATGCATAACCCCATGCCAGAATGATTGCCAACATCAGAGTAGCAAATCAACGTATGTCGCGGTCTAACAATCCTCTTAGGAAGAAAGCGCGATGTCTTCCACTATTCGGCACTCTACTTTTCAAGAAAGTGAACCAACTCGGAGCCTAGAGCACCCGTCTCTTGTCTTGAAGAATACCCGACGAGGTAGAAATGCCGAGATATAGCGCGGGTACACTGAAAAGTTCCTCAGTCTCACAGCACCTCTTCTAGTAGGCAAGAAAATCCTACCACATAGTCAACCGGAAAACGACCTCGGTGAATTTTGGGATGTCTTCAGATGTTCGAATATGCTCTTCGGTCTTCCTCGTATGCTACTTCTAGATGTGCCATATGGTGTCACTGTGGACAATAGGGAGGGTAAATTCTGCCTTTTTTTAATAATCTTTTCTCCGATTGTACTCATGGCCTTCCTCCTTCTCGTCGAGGAGGGGGAAGTGGACCCCCAGAGCGCCGGATACGCGGTAGTCCTCAACGCTGCCACGGAAAGCTTTGGACCCTTTCATAACCGCTTGTCCGCTCTTGTCGTACACCGGGCGGGCTGTCTCACCGAGGAGGCCGGACAGCGCCGGGTTGTCCACGTCCAGCCCGCGCATTCCGACGTCCATCTGCCAGAACTCGAGGTCAGGAAGGACGCGTCCATCCCAGTCTAACTCGCCGTTGCCCTGGTAGTTGACGCCAGCGTTGAGGCGAACGGTGACAGTGGGCGTCTCGATCTTGAAGATGGCATGGGTGGACTGCAGCTCGGCGAGGTTGTTCCCTGCGATGTACTTAGCGCACCAGCCGGGCGCCGGCATGCCGTCTTCGTTCCTCAGGATCCAGTCTTCGAGGCTTTCACCTCGGAGGAGCTTGCGCCTGCCCTCAAGCATTTCCTGGTGTATGCGGGCCCATATCTTGTGACCGCCGAACTGCCGGCACTCCACCGGAAGGTTGGATGTAGACACAGTCATGGCACCGTCTGCCACCGCCGTCTCCCGAGAGAATCGAAGGAGCTCGTCAACTTCCTGGCCGTCGACAATGATACTCAGTCCGCCGTTCGCAAGGCAGGGCGAGACCCCGTCAGGACAGCCGTCCGTGTCGATGGTGTAGGGGTTTGTGACCTGGATGACAAGAGAATGCCCCTCTGACAGCACAGCCAAGCTGGTCATTAGCTGGCGGTCGGGGAACTCATCGGGCAGGGGAGCGGTGACGCGAACATTAACGTTGAGATCGGCGTTGTCGTCCTTGATCAGGGAGTACCAGCCGCCGTCAACCCCAGACCAGTTGATTCTCTGGCCAAGGAGGCCAGCCATGTGCGGGTCTCCACAGTCGACGTCCCCATTCGGGCAGACTGGCTCGTAGAACCCGGCGTGCCAAGGCAGGGAAGCCATCGAAGAACGTGGTTGGTTGTCATGGTGATGCAAGGTATGTGAAGTACCAAAAAAGGATTTCAGCTGGTCCAAGGCCACGCGGACGTTTTACACGGCGTTCACAAGAAAAGAGGCTAAAACGTATCCGCGCGATGTTTTCCAACTATAGTGTGAGGCGTAGAACATGCTGCAGTGAGTCAACGCGATTCGGGTCGAAGTAGGTTCTGGTGGTGGTAGCAACACGGAGAGTAGCACCGAAGATTGCACCGAGGGTGGCAGCGAGAGGGTAGCACCGAGGGGGTCCGTGAGGCATGAACGCGGGTTCGAGTACCTTCAGGCGGATATCCATTTGGAAAAAATGTGGGTATACCCCAAATATCAAAATCAGACGCTCACTCATCGAGTTTCTATGGAGCTCGTCGCAATAATCTTAGTACCGGCGGACAGATGGTGAGTAGGGTCAACTTAAAACACTGCGAGAAAGGTCTATCTGTCTGTTTTCAGGTCGCAGTTTGGTGGCGGACGTGCGATACCTCTCAATACAGCGGCGTGGGTCTGCGGGATGGAGGCGGTGATGTGTACCACATACACGCGGTGCTGCCGAGCAGTGCGAAAACAACGACCCCGAGCACACGTGGGCTGTTCCTGGTCTTGTTTCCCGCGACCCACGACCAGCCCCAACAACGCGGCGCAACAGCAATACGAGAAATTTGATACGGCTCCGCTTCCAGCCAGGCGGCGGCCATATCAAAATGTTAATGGACTGCAATAGGGCTGACATTGCGTACGGATTGCTGATAGTACCCACCATTCAACAGTGCAACACTTCACGCCGAGAAAACCTGGAAAACAATTCCAATGGCGGTGATCCGGACCATTTTACAACACCGAAGCTGATTGTTCTCTTTCCGACGTACAACAAGTCTATGTGGAACGAGCCAAAGCGACTCGGCAACCATCAATCCTACCGGGGGTCGGAGTAGGTTCTGGGTGAGGTAAGAAATCGGGGAGTAGCACCGAGGATAGCACCGAGGGTGGCAGCGAGAGGGTAGGGCATGAACGAGGGGTCGACTAAGTTCGGGCGGATACAAATTTGGATAAAGCATGTCTAAGCCGTTGAAGAGTACCCCGAACATCACAATGAGACGTCAACCAATCACATCAACCCATCGACTTTAAGGAGCTCATCGAACAAATATTGAATATCAAATAGTCTAGTTTGTTAACAGATCGCAGTTCGTTTTCGGGTGTGCGATCGGCGGGAGTCTGCGGAATGCAGGCGCTACAGATATCAGTGCTGGGAAGCAGTGCGACAACAGCAACCCCCGGCTCACATGGGCTGTTCTTGGTGTCCTTCCCCGCGACCCACCACCAGCCCCAAAAACGTGGGACAATAGAAAAATGAGAAACATGAGACGGCCCCGCT